CCAGGTACCATCCTTCTTTTTGACTAGAATCACGGGAGCCGCCCAAGGACTCGATGATTCTCGAATGACACCCTTCTGCAGCATATCACGCACTTGTTCATCAATTATCTTGCGTTCAGACGGCGACACTCGGTAGGGTTTCTGGCGGATGGGCTGTGCTGTTCCCGTGTTTATCCTGTGGAGAATCCGAGACGCGGGAATCGAGGGCGCATGGTCATGGGAAAAATCGAAAATCGCCACGTATTTCGACAAAACGTCCAGAAGCATGCGGCGTTTGTCAGTAGTAAGTGACTTGTCGATCATAGGTAAAAGTTTTGAATCGGCCGTAGAAGTATTGGCTGAGGCCCCACCTGGAGCATCACTGAGGGCAGCCACTGCCATCGGTGAGTATGTTTTGAACTTGGCAAGCTTCAGTCCTCCTGGTAGAACCACCGACTCAGCTGAACAGTTTACCGCCCATAGTCCTGTGCGTCCTTGAACGAGTGACACTATGCAATGCGGCACCAATGTGTTCTTCTTAATGCAACTGAGATGAAAGGGCTCCACTAATGCGTCGAACGCACTGTCACTGTTTTCAATGCGTGAAGAGTATACAGGAACACAGACTGCAGAGAATGCCGGCACAATGCTATCTTCACTGACCCGGAGCGCACCGTGCTCCCTGTCTGAATTCTCTAATAGTTCTCCAGGGGCAGCATCACATATGTACACCTCTCCATTTCTACAATCAACAGTGGCGCCACACATTCGAAGGAAGTCAATCCCCAGGATTATGTCGTGTGTGCTCCTTGGAAGAATCGTAAACTCTGTGACAAACACTTGATCACCCAAGCACACTTCTGCGGTACAGACACCAATGGGACACAGCGAGTTACCACCAACGCCACAGAATGTTGTTGCCTTCTCCCACAAAAACATCACCTTTTGTCCTAAACGGTGTTTAAAAGCAGCACTCATAATCGAAACTGTAGCACCAGTATCCACCAAAGCCATCGTACACACACCATCAACAAAAACTTCTACCTTGTTCTTGAACATCAACACAGACGGGGGTATTTCGTTTTGCAGCAAGTCACCAGCGACCTCACCCCCATCGGCCGCACTGTTTAGTTTTCCTGATGTGGTGACGATGGGCGGCGCCGTGGCGATGGAGACCGGTGGGATCGAGGCGCAGGAGGTGGCGTCACACTTCGATCAGAGGCAGGGGAGTTGTTGCGCCAGTGTCCGTGCCAGAAGCTGCTGCCGGGTCTTGAGTCGGTGGGCCAGTGTCCTTGAAAAGGTGGGACAGCAGGTTTATCGGTCAAGCTTGTCCACTGATCATAGCGTGGTATGCGCGAACGATCGCAATACCTCGATATGTGACCAGTCAGACCACAGTTGTAGCACACAGGCGCAGGACGAGGTCGTCGCCGTTCTTCGAAGTGTTCACGTCTGCGAGCGTTCGCGTAAGCCCGAGATTCAATGAAATCAGTTGTCGGTGGGTGGTATGGGCGTACGGAACGGAAACGTTGAGGGTACTGTGATCGCTCGTAAAAAACCGGACTTGACTGCTGAATACGCCGAGGCCCTGCAACCTCCGTTGCGTTGACGGATGGATGTTCATAAACTGTAAGCTGTGGGGCAGTGGTGTCCTGCGGGAAATAGGATGGAGACGTGGCAGCTGCCCGTTCACGTGTCATTTCGCCATGTCTGAGTAACTCTTCCCGAACAATTTGGCGGATGGTTGCCGAAAGGTCACCAGTTGAGGCCGCTTCTATGCTGGCTACTGAGGTGACATTTGCCAGACGACCAAACTTAGGCGCTATTCTGCGCTGCTTCAGGGTTTCAAACGTGCGGCAGTGCCGTACAACGTCAGACACTGAAGTCAGGCTTTCCCTGCTAATAAGGAAGTTGTAAACATCTTCTGCAATTCCCTTCAGCAAATGCCCCACCTTGTCCTCTTCCGACATGCTGGAATCGACTTCCCTACACAGCCTCAAAATCTCTTCAGTATACACGGTGCAGGTCTCACCGGATAGCTGGGCCCTCTGTGCAAGACTCTGCTCGGCAAGCTTCTTTTTTGCAGCTGAGTTGCCGAAACACTTCTTGATTTCTTCAACAAAGCGTTCCCATGTTGTCAGAATATCTTCATGGTTCTCATACCAAACGAGGGCAACATCAGTGAGGTAGAAAACAACGCGTGACAGTTGGGAGGCAGCATCCCATTTGTTGCAGTTGCTTACTCGCTTGAAATGTTTGAGCCATGAGTCCACGTCGTCATTGGCCCTCCCGGAGAAGGTTCGTGGCTCTCTGTGATACGGCCAAGAACTGCTGGGGACTGGTTCCCGAGCTTCTGTTTCGTCAGGCATGATGGCCAAAGAAGGAGGCAGGCCGGCGAGGCGACGACTCCGGCGAAATCCGAGGGGTAGCGGTCCCGTCGTTGGTTCCTATACCCAGCACCTCCACCACTCTGTTACGACCTCAGTAGGCGTCTGGGGGTTTATTGATACACGGTTCGAGGGACGAGCCGTATCGGCGCAGGCAGATGATGATGATCTTCTTCTTCCACACCCCTTGCTTCTTTTTCCTTCTTCGTCCGGCACATACGTGGCGTAACAATATTCTCATGTGGGTTTTTTTTTCGCTGTAATTTTGCGCCGCCCTTATAATCGCGATGCCTCTGCGAGAGACCCGCATGTGCTCGAAACATACTATAATTCCAATTTCACGGGCTGTATAGTGTGGGGAGGGGGGGCACTGGCAAACAAAATAAAAAAACGTGACAGCTAATGCACAAGCGCAGTCAGAAGAGTGCTGTGTTTTACGCTCAAAGATTAGCCTCGATTAAATTGGTTCCGTTTTCTTCTGTTTCGCGGAACTGTCACTACTTTTTGTTTTAACGCCGTTTCAATAATTCTTGCAGACGCGCTGATGTAATCACACCAACGTAGTGCTCACACTGTGACTGGCCGCTCATTCGCACTGAGTTTTACGATATTCAATGAATAGGTTGGGCAATGTAGCAACGAACATCTAGATGTTTTACTTATTTAACATTAACGCAGTACGCGTTCAGAGTTTGTTGTATCTGGTAAGAAACACTGCGCGTTGCACAGCAGTGACAACTTCCACTCATTATTTCTTCGGTTGTCTATCTTGACGGGTAGTGAGCTTTCTTCAGAAGACGCAGTGCTGCTTCATGTGCGACCCTTTGATTTGAATTTATTAGAGAGTACAGTAAATAAACGCGATACTGATATTGCCATTGTGCTGCCAAACCATGACAACTACAAAGATGTAGAAAAAGGAGATGCAAACTGAGACCCTTTCTTCCATTGTGAAAGTCGGGGGGGGGGCTGTTGATTGCGAATATCCACAAGCGGTGGTGCTGTGAGCTTTTCATTGTTGACGAAAATTTCTGAAAGCTGACATAATCGCACCATCCCTATTCGCGTGTTGTATTGCAGTCTTCAAAGACAGCGCTTACTGTCGCTGGCGAAGTTAATTTGATGAAGAAGTGCGCCTGGGCAGTAGAGATCAAATTTTTGTCTGGGTGCGAGAGTATGCCTCCGGGAGCCTAGGTGCCTCGGCGCTAGGTAAACATGCTCTGATATAGAGCCTTGATAAAAACCAGAGCCACCATACTAAATCCGCGCGATATATTAACACCACAAGGCATCGTAAAAAAACAGAGTATCCATTAGGAGAGCACTACTTAAGCCACCCTCCCTGTATAAATAAATTCAAAACGCGTGATCAGTATTTTTCTTTGGCTATCGGCACGTTTCTTTCACGTTTGCATGCCTTTTTCACCTTGAAAATCTACGACACACACTACCGAGAAGGTTCTAGAGATATTTCGGGCTAAAGAAATCAATGAAGGATTGCAGCACTGCGGTGCACAGGTCACAAAAAAAAACAACGTAGTTTCGATGTCTGACGCATGTTTACAATCACAGTGTAAAATACAATCGAATTGTTTTACTCTGGCAGAGTCATCTTAGAACTTCGAGAGTCACATCTCATCGGCAATGAAGATTTTTTTTGGAACTCCTCCATCAGATCAGGCACATGTCACTATTCAGAATCGTACTTCGGCTTTGCAAAGTGATGCGCGTCATGCAGCTGCTGTTTGGACAAGTTTTCAAGTGCGCAGAGCTTTGATAATGTGAGCTTGTCAATTTGGTGGCCGCACGGTCATTTTGATGATATTTGAGGTTTAACGTTGCAAAACAGCCATATGTATATAAAAGACACCGTAGTGAAGGGCTTCGGAAATTTCGAACACCTGGGGTTCTTAACGAGCACACTCAGGTTGAATGACAGCTCGGCACTGCATTATGACAGAAGCAGGCCTGATTTCTCAGCCCAAAATATTTGCTAATGACTGCGGCTCAGCTTCTCGTTGGGCTCCCTTTAAGTGGAGGCTACCGGACGATTCCGCGGCGATGCCCAACCGAAAATGGCGGACGCATCTACAGTTGACAGAGCATCAAGCTTTATGAATATTGCCTATTGCTAGGATTGGAGTACTTTTCTTGTGCGTTACCGTCCTGAACAATTCAAGACATTACCCTTGATGTGCGAGTGCTTTGCGATGATAATCATATTGCTTGGTGAGAGATAAGACGGGTGCACGGAACATCTGTGTCGCGTATTGGGCAATGCTGCTGCCACACTAAGATAATTGGAGCAACAGCAAGATTTTCATTGTATTGCTGTGAAGTTTTATTTTTTTCTTTCTGAACTAATGAAATACCTTGTTTTGAGTGGGGCTGGCTTTCTAGATATAGCGGTTTTACGTGCCGAACAAACTGATAAATGACTCATGCGGGAGACAGAGCAGGTGGCGTGCACTTACGATATTCTTCTTGGCTTCAAGCATGCTAAAACAGTTTTATCTCAGGAAATTGCACTCGACTTTTAGGAGGATAATAGAAGAAAGTTTTAAATATTGCAGCCCAATTTCAAAATACATACAGTTTTAAAAATTGCTGCCTGATTTGAAACTACATACTCACCTTGAAGATTCCGCAATCTTCTACCATCAGCATATGCGGCAACCATGTCATATCTAAGAGAGAAAAGTTTATAAGAAAACTGAAAGCGCTCATGACCTCCAGCTTTCGGTTCGAGCAAGTAGAACTTTCTAAAACTATTGAAATTGTCAAATTTGAAAACACGAAAGAAAGTTGTCTTGTTTCAACACTGAATGCGTGCTATTTCTTCTAATTCTTTGCAAAACATTCTCAGATGCGGTTTATACCGATACCGTTGTAGAATAAGGTGTTCGAAATATTTACACGGCAACTTGAGCGAACGGCTATTCACATAGGTGAACGGGGTTTGTAATGTGAAAGAGCCATCAGGAGACGAGTCGACTGAATAACCTAATCAAGGGTAAATGCGATGTTATATTGCTTACAAAAATCTAATTTTCTTCTGTAGGGCACCTCGAAACATGGCCTCTACTAATAATACATGGCCGTTTTTATGCCTGAGCCCCCTGGCCAAGGATTCTTTATTTCACATTCAATTTCAAGCTTCTTCAATATACGAAAAGTGAGGGGCATTATCAGAAAGCCTGCCACCGTACCCCAAGAGCTTAACCGAGCTCCTTGTCAAGTGCATTATTCTATATGAAGTATCAGTGGCAATAGTCCGTTCTGTAAGAGCCAGACTGCGCCGAGAAAGAACCATATCACCAATAAGGAGCTTGTAAATCTTAGCAACCTTTTGTCGCTTGACACTACTACTGATTGAGCAAAAAATGAAGTAGGAAGCTTTCCTGAGGGCTGGAATCCGGTAAACGTCAGATTCATACTGAAGCCAGGAAGTCCCCATTATTCAACCGCTACGTTTCTTCTCGCTGTCTTCGTGTGTTTGAAAATAGCTATAGCATGTCTCGCTCAACTGGCTATGGTCATTCCTGGGTAACTAGGGAACACTTCCAAACATGGATGTATTTGCCTCCCCAGCAACACATCCTCAATCTGGTGATTACACGCGTCATCGGTACTCCCTTTATATCCCTGCTTTGGACCTCAAAGGGGTGTTGGATGAAGTGATACACGTAGCCATATTACACAGGCTGAACAATATTACTGAAGTATTCCATGCGATGTGACTGCCAACCATGCGATTTACACTTGATTCTCTGAGTGGATGCTGAGGAAGCTTACTTCAAACTGGCACGGCAGTGCTACAAGCTCACTTGCGAGAGATACCATCTATATGCAAGTCACTCCCTAGAGAGCAACAGAGATCATTTCGGGCTCCACAGGAGTACATATCCTTGCACCCAACCAGAAAATACAACACAGCTCCCCGTCAACTTTGTCCGCAGGACCACTTCTATGAAAGCTCCATGTCTTTCGATCATTTGAAAGGAGGCTGTGAAAAATTACCATAAAAACCCTGAACCCTTACCCGCTTACAAGCATCAAAGAGCTCTTTAGGAGGTCTCATTTCGACGATCAGCTGAGGCCAGACGCGAGGATCCAGAACACCACCCCGCCTCAAGGCACCTTGGATTAGGCCGCATTTGCTTAGCAACCTTTTAAATGAAAAACCACGCTCTGTGCTAGGTGCTTTGAATCATCTCTTGCGCGAATCATGGGCTTGTTTACAAAATACAGTGAGTGATGAGCACGATATTAACTGGTGGTTATTTACAGTGCGAATTTACAATATGATTATAAGAGCCACGTATTGAAGAACAGAAAAAATATAGAACATCAGGCGTTCTTCAACGTGCGCTAAACAAAAGGCACTCAGAACTTCACTTTAATAAATTTTGAAGTATCTTCCAATATGGGTACTTGTCTGATAGTGGCAAGAATAACTTAACAGGCCCACACAACTAAACACTTCTGCCATAGTCTCAGCTGTTGCAACGGGTTTCCTTCATGTCATGAGTATACTGAGTATGCGTTTCAGTAGGTACTCAAAATCCAGAAGGAACAATGAGCTTTAATGTCTGGTTTATGCATAGCATTTTAGTAAATGATACTCGATCATGCAATACAACCATGGTACTCTAAAGCCTTGCAAAACAAGCGACATTTTAGTCATTGATCACATACGCAAGTCAGAGTCTAGCTCTGCGAAAACGTCGTCTGCATACCGGACATCATAGGGAATAAAGATACTTGTTATAAAGTCGAATAATAAATAACATGATAAATGAAGTCTCAAAGCTTGTTAGCCTGCCTAGGATAGCCTATAAGGTGCACTACGTTCACTATACGAAGTCTTGCGAGGCAGCACTGCGAGCAAGGAGTCCCGTGGGTTCATACTCGTAGTTAAGTGCACAAACAGCAAGTCAACATATTCGCTATGGTCCAAGGATCGTCCCAGTTTTACAGCGGTAGCTGTATATATCTAGGTGAAATCAAACTCTTTTTGGCGGCAGTGCCATTGGTGGTGTTCATTGACTGTGTTATCAGATACATCGTTGCAAAGCACCCGCGCCATTGGCTGCGTTGTAAATGACGTCGTCGCAGCCGTGGCGCTGAGCCCGCGCGCAACAGGTTCTCCAGAGACCTCCCCGCCGCGTTGGCTCATGATGTCACACGCCTTCAACAACGCGGTGTTGCGGCATCATTGTGATGATTGCGGGAGCACGCTCGCCGGGGCGAGCGCTGCTTTCGACGGGAGAATTTCCAGCGGCACATTTGCTTCGGATGCGACGTCTGTGACCGTCTGTCTTCGAGAACAACCACTGTTATTAACGCATTGCGAAACGCGTTTAACCGGTCGATGCATTCCTCCGTAACCTTGATAATGACAGACACAATGTGCGGCATGTGAAACAAACACTGTAGTAAATCCGAGCGAAAGGTGTGTCGAATCTTTTTTAGAATCACGAACCTGTCACCAATAATTGTGAAACGCTTCAGAGCCACGTCGAGTTGAATCCACTGCTAAACACCGGTGCCGATCATTGAAGCTTTTGCTGGTTAACTTTGTACGGAGTGCTTAGGCGGTGATTTTTTCGTTAGAACCACGTAGCATATTTAGCGTACAGAGGAAATTACAGTCACTTCTTCGGAATCACACCTGGAGTTATCGAATATTACGGTGACGAGTGCTCTTTCTCTTCCGGCTGCTGATGACCAGGAAGGCCATCTGCTGATCTGGCAGTGCCTGCTTGCTGGAAATATACGTGATCAGTAGTACTACTTTGCGTCCTTGGAACATCATTACCGTGTATTGTAAGTCATAACAGCGCCTTATTTTCGGAAAGCCTATGCCTACGATAGTATTCCGTGAGCAGCGCTTCTGGTTTTCGAACTTCGCGTGGAGATCTCCGAAGTATTAGTGACTTTAATTAATATTGTCTGGCTAGTGACAGATCATGCACAGCTGGCTGGATTCTCGCGCCTTCGCTAGCAATTTTTATATTCCCCAAATAGGCGGTGAACGATCGAGGGACAGGAGAGTAGTCACCTCGAGTGTCAGCCAGAACTATGGTGTATTTTTCATCGTCTAGCCCGTTGGGGTCGGCAGTCCTTTTTTCTTCCCAGCAGTTTGTCTTGGTGAAGGATCACGACTACCACACATTTTTCAGCTAGTGTGAAAAACACGGGGAACCGAGGACCCAACCGAGAATCTGTCGGGTTCTCGCTTGGGTGAGGAATAGCAACCAAACCAGTTTTTTGATAATACACAACGCTTTGCGGACATACCGCTGATACCAATTTGATGTGTATCGTGAAAATATAGTCTTCAGTGCTCCACGTCTGTGAAAAAATCAGAATATGTGAAATATTCAAATGAATTGTTTGACTGCTGTTTTTACGTGGGAGCAAAACTGCTGTTAGCAAATTGAATAGTAATAACTGATTTAAATATTTTGTAAAATTGAAGCTACGCTTCATAAACACAGTGTTTTTCTTAAGAAGAAAATAAAAATGTTTTCCTAAGAATCGATATTCGTCATTTATTATTCGGAAAGGGGAGAACAGGACAACAAACTTTACAGGTTGTTTCAGCCCAAAGTTATGTATCTTTGAACGAAGTCATCTGAAACAATGTTTTCGAAAATATGCTCGTTTTTATTCAAATGTTCGCCTCCTATTCTTGTTTCTTGGCAAGCGGTGCAAGAAAAATACATTTACTGCTCTGTAACTGACGCACGCTTTAATGTCTACCCATCATCATGGGCACGTATACTGGACAACTTTTTTTATCTTCTAAGTTTGAGGTTACTGGGAAAGCAAGCATTGTACTTACCCTGTTACAAAGTACACCATATCGAATAGTCCATATGTATCATTTTTGCTGACAAATGTCACAATATTTAGGAGGGACTTGTACCCATCGATGCTTACAGCGTCGGTGAAGTCGTAATATTGTTTCTCCTGTTCTTGCTATGAGACAGAAAACAGTATATTTTTAGGCAGTTTTTGACGAATTCTTGCTTAACTACACCACACCTTTGTAGAGAGCTCTATTGTATGGTTTTCGGGGTGAGAACAGATTAATTTGTTCCATTAATAATTATCTCAGTAAGTTGCGATGAGCAGAAAAAGCTCCTGAGCACCACGTCTCCAACTTAGGGCAGTAGTATCGAAGAGTATATGCTCGCTGCGTGAGTTACCCCATCGGAAGAGGCAGGCGGCCTTTTTTTCCTAACCCTGACCTCGAGCCAGTGTTACATGCTATTCCCCCCTTTTTGGGGGGGTGAAAGTTCGGAAGGAGAGCTACTTTATTCCTGGTTGACAAGATGAAGTAGGCCTGCAAGACTAACGCGTGGGGGTGGGCAGCGCATAATCGTTACAACTAAGCCATAACGCCTTAAATGTACTAGAAAAAATACCTCCCGCATTTTCTCACGGAAGGAACTCGAGCGAATGCGTCGCAGAGTGGTGTGGGTATCGCGTGAATGTTGCGTAATTGTGCATGGTTTGAGAATGCCTAATTTTTATTTCGTCTTTATGATTCCTACTTGAGGAAAAGCATAGCCTTTACTGTTAAGCGAAAGCCAAACTAAGACGCCCTTGACCGAATTCCTAAAGCGCTATCCAGTGCCTACAGATAAGGGGTGGCCAATGAACGGTTGTGCAATGCAAGAATTCGTCTTTTTTTTTTCTGGCAGACGCTGCCTGCAGCAATCTTGCTAGGCTAGAGATGGGGATGGGAGCGACAGCATTGCGGGTGTCTTCCTGAGTCGGCACAAGACGCGAGCTTGCGCATCTGTGCACGAAACGTGAGTATGCGGCACGAGACGTGATCAAGCACAGTAGTAGGGTGGTGGACGGTGTCACCCCTGACACCGAAGCGCAAAATCGTTCGACTAAGAAATGCCCCGCATTTAAAAACTCCTGGTTTTGAGGACGATGGACTGCTGCGCTGGTCAGTGTGCATGGTAGAGTGCGCCATTTTATTGGGTGCATTGTTCTACTTCAGGCACCCTACAAAAGTGGCAGAGAATACGACACTCTTCCAATGCTTAAAATGCTTGAACAGACGGCTGCCTGCCCTTTATGACGTGGTGTCCTAATGACAAAGGAACAGCTTTTTGTGGGTGCCCTGTGATTTTTCGTGCCAGTAGCTCCAATGAGAGACAGTAGGAGCACCAGACCAGTGTTCGCCTGACTGCGGAGTACTCATTGTAACCACGGCTCGGTGGCCACTTGGTGAGAGGCGTTGATGAAAGCACCAGGCTTAATAGGATGACCCAGGTGACCACAGAATATCGGCAGATGTAAGTTGAGAAGAACCGACGTCACAGTATACCTAGATATTGCGTGGAGCTATAAATGAATTTGTTGCCATGCAAAGTGTGTAAACTTGAAATTCTAAGCTTTACATGTTGCAAGTTCACTGCAGAACGTGCTAGCACGAGGGTAGAACAGCGTTGGAGCGTTCAACCTGCAGACACGTATGTAGTAAGGTACATGTAGTGGTAAGTTTAATGCTATAAGGTAAGGTAGATTGAGATTAAGCGTTAAATGGGCTATCTTACAGGTGCGAAAGCCATGCAACTAAGAAAAAGCGGGCGCGTTTCATATTTCTTCCAGAACTACGTCCTCGCAATGATAGATGAAGCGCGACGACATGAAAGAGGCAAAACGAGGTTCTGCGCAGCGCAGCGGAAGTAAGATTGGTATATGCACTGAATTCAGGCTGCATTGCATGTGATCTACCGTTAAGTGCTTCCATATATATGGTTATTCACTGTTCAAATCAACAATTAGTCCGCAAGAACGCTTTCAGATGTCTTGATGACACTCCGGGCGGATCTGCATATGCCAGGTACTCAGGTTTTTTTTTCAAATCACCCTCAAAGCTCGCTTGGTTAACCTTTCTGCCTTTCTACTTCGTTTATCTCTTTTTCTGGCTCAAGAGAACGCATATGCTAGCAGGAGAAAAATAGTCGTGCCTATGGCCTACGTCATACGGAATATCATTTTACGGAAGGTGGGCGCGCTGCACAGTTCATAAAAACTAACATCAAGACTAGAAATAATGGTAAGACAGCTGTAAATTTTATCGAGGCATTGCACATACAAAAAGAATCCATGTATAAGCGACGCATTCACTGCCTAGCAGGGAAAAAGAAATGTGGGCGGTGCTTGCAACTGATCAACGTTACTCTCCTTGTTCTCGAGAAATTCTTCCTTTCTTTTTCTGTTGCGGCCACTGCTTTGTTACGAAAGGCTCCGATAGTGTAGTCGTTCAATGAATACATGTAAAAGTGTTCAGGGGCCGCTTTTATGATGAAAAGTGCTGATCCTAACGGCGATTACAACTTCACTTTTGACTTTACAATTATGAACATCTACTTACCGTACTGAGTTCGATTCCTCGTAGCACAGGACGCACTTTCGGCTGTCTAAGGGCGCTGTATCGCATGACAAGCTGGTTAGTGCAAAACAAGACATTATGTTTGTAAAGAATACTGAAAGAAATTCGCTATGCAAATTAACTCGTATCACCCACTTACCACTTGAAAGGATATCATCATGTAAACGGTAATATTCATTGCTTCCTGAAACTCTGCCTGAAATTTTGTGTCACAAACCAGAAATATTTCCGGAAACATTTCGTAGATGTTGTACTTTGCTGAAAAATATTTGTGATTGCATTGAGCGTGAATATACAGCGGAACTTGTTGCTATACTTACTTGCATCGAAACCGGTTTGTCTTCTTGCAGCACGCTCAGAAATACCAATATTATCTGTTGTTATCTTTCCTGCAATTCAGAATCATTCATATTGACACCTAGTACTTGTTGCCTCAGAATCTAAAAATTGCGAGCACGATAGTATTCCAACTCTATTTTTTATCACTCCCTATTCATTTCTCTAGGGCGGTCTATTGTAAGAAACAAAACAATATGTTGTGGGTGACAGTTGCGTCTTGACTGTGCCGGCCTGCTGCCCATGGTGGCAGAGCATGCCACGTCCAGTAACGTCCACGCCTGGCGCCGTCAACGTTCAGGGTAGTAGCACGTTTAGGTCAGTGCAATCAGGGTAGTAACGCATTCAGTGTACTAACACGTTTGTGGAGGAGGCCGCGTCGAGTATCTGTTTAACTGATCATGAATGGCCAGCCAATGAGCTGCGTCATGATATTGAGCCGCTATGACAGCCGGTGATGGCCACCAGAGACCAGGTGAACAAAGGCGACTGGCTGCGTCAGCACTCTAGCTGTTCGCACTGAGGAGCAACGAGTTCCGTCCATTTTCCTCCTAGAAGCCTTCATCATGACGCAGAAAACCAACCATGCCATCTTGGTGAATATGATGAACTCTCCAGTGAAAGGAAGAGTTCATCAGGTGGCGGTGTTCGTATACGGTATTAAGTAAACAACCGAAGTGCGGACCACTGGAACAAAAAGAACAGACAATCTAATGATAAGTACATCGATGACTGCAGTGATGACGGTGAGCTGATGATTTAACAAAACTTGAAATTTGGCCAGGTGACGCATAGTTGACAGGATCTTTGTGCGTAATAAAACACACGTTAAGAAGATGAGAGGAAGGACGGGCGCTATACTTTCACCGCGTGATTATGGTGTAGTAAAAGAGTGTGATTAAAAGACGAAAACGAAACACAAGAAAACGACGGAATGCGGAGGTCCTGTAAGAATGAAAGTAGTGGAAGTGAAAGTGACACTGTAACTGACATTGCCACAGGGATGCTTTCAATGCCGTTTGCAATTATATTCAGGAATCCAAGCGTATACGTTTGTGATCTTCAATTAAATAATTATTATTTATTACCCCCAAAAAGTTTAAATGGCGAAGTGAAGTAAACTCAGCTGAGTGGTAATCACAACACCTGAATTCTCAAAATTTTTTCAACTTGTCTTTTTCATTTTTTTTGTTTGCTCTCTTTTTATATGGTTTTGCCTACATTAGTCACATTATAATACAAATTTCTTACACATAGTTGAAATTTTCACAGAAAAAATGCACTGCGCTTTCTTGGCCGATCCTCCTGAGTGGGTGTTAGCCATGAGTCTAGAAAAACAAACAAACACACAAACAAGCAAACTGAAAGCGCTAACCGAGAGTGGGAAGACGCAGACGACGCAGTGTGCGCGTGAAAGAAGAGAAACATGGTGCTCGTGAGCTGTCAGACATCGACGCACTTTAGAACGCAGCAGCAGGCAAGAGCCGTTCATTTGACCTCGATAACCAGACGGGACCGATCTCGTGTACCAGGCCAGCCGGGACGAGCTTAACGTGCTCTGAAAACGAGCGAGTGTCCCAACCCGGTGCTGCAGTACTGCTCTTGCGGTGAGCGAGCGAGCAGCTGGGCCAACAGCTGTTTCCATAATACCGGTGGAGATTGTGGTCTCGGTGCCACGTTCATGCGGTTCCGGCACAGTCGTCAGAGACCGTGGTCATGTTGCCTCGAGCGAGTGGGTCCGTCACTGACCAGAGCTGAAGGCGTGGCCTCGGTGCCACATCGGACGCAACGTGGCGTGCGTACGTGTTGGAAAACGAGCAGTTCCACATCTTCTCGTGCGTCGTTGCACGACGTCATCGTGCACACCGGTACTACTCGGTATCCTACCGCTTCATGTATCTGTCGTCAAGCTCCTGGTACTGCGAGTGACGTGCGACGAAAAGCTATTTCGGGACGCGCTGACTGTCGCGCTTGTGTGAACTAGGAGCGTAGCGTTTGGCCTATCAGAGTGTTTTTGATTGTATGCAGTCGATAAATTGGTTCATTTCCGTGTCATTGTTGTTCGTTTCTGAGAGCCCCCAACCACCACACTCGGTATGAAAGTAGCGCTCATTTTGTGACTGGGTTTCTTCATTTTTGTGCTTGATTTTTTTGCGCACCAATTTTAAGATGGATACCATACATACAAGGTTCTGTCCGCATTATGCCAGCCGACGACAAGAGATCACAGATTACAATGAAAGAATACTCGCTTCCACCTCACACCTTCCACCCCCTGTTTCTCCCATTTAGTCTCATTGCCCTTTCTCGTTTCTGTGTTATAAAGTGGAGGGGGTACAGTGTTTTTCCCGCGTGGCACCCAGATACATGAGACGATGATGAGAACGTATACTATGACAACACACGACAGCGTACTCCAGCCCGAAATCCTGAAGGGCTGCCGCTTGAAACACAAAATGAGCCACGAGAAGGGAGACAGTGGTTTTGATGGAAGTAGCCTGTGAACGACGAAAACAAAACTGCAAAGACCACCTGTCATTATTGCCTGCGCACGTTCCTCCATACTCCAAACTCGAGACAGCTGACCAGTCTTCCTGCCATTTCGAAATGTGTGGCACGGTTCTTAGCTTAAAAGTAGCCTTAAAACATTACACTAGTAATTATGTAATAGGTGACTTTCTGTCGAAGAAATACTCAAGTAGCGTAAAATTTGCATTGATTTTGTGTCAGCACTATTCTCTTTTCATTGTAATTCGTTTTCAAAATTCACCATTTGGCCCCCCCTATCCACATCGCAGATGCACTTTCTACTAAACACTTCGTTGCCCTTTAGTGATATATACCGTGTAACTAAGAGGAATACGCTGGCTACAATCACACATAAAGTGGTGCAACTTGTGCAAGCGAAATATTAAAGGCCTCACCGTAGCCTTCGAAAGACTCGTTGTCTTCAATATTTTCCACCAGGTGCGCCAAACGACCATTCTCAGAGCGTTCGGTGGTTATAGGTCTGATCTTCAAGTTAGCTCCAACAACACCTTCCTGCACAATTAAATGCGAAGCATTTATTAGTGAACTTCAGCGACTTTGAGCATATCTATCTATCTATCTATCTATCTATCTATCTATCTATCTATCTATCTATCTATCTATCTATCTATCTATCTATCTATCTATCTATCTATCTATCTATCTATCTATCTATCTATCTATCTGTCTATCTATCTATCTATCTATCTATCTATCTATCTATCTATCTATCTATCTATCTATCTATCTATCCATCCGCCTACGACTTTTAGCTCTCCTGGCCGTTTCGATAATGGTATCAATACCAAACTTGGTATCGTATGACATGACGGTGTGAAGAACATATTTGACTAGTCATAACATGAAAATCGTTATTGTATGGCACCAATGTCATGATTTACATTTCATGATCTTGAAGCTCTTGCGGTGGTTTCGTTCACGTGGCATGTTGTAAAACTGGCATGGTAATTCTTGATTGCATGGCGAACACAAGTGACAGACCCTAACATGAAAATCATGACACGCGTGTCATGTAACAACATGAGTACATGTCACGCTCATGATGCGCTCGCGGCCGTTTCGCTAGCGTCACATATAACAAATTTGGTATTGCAGCAGGTAAACAGATGACGAAGGTACGTGACTGGTGCAATTATGGTAATCATGAGGTGCGCGTCATGTAACAACATCACTACATGCCACGTTCATGATGCGCTGGTGGCCGTCTTGCTAGCTTCACTTATACCAAATTTGGTATTACGGGTCGTGAATGGATGACGAAGATATGATGCTGGTGCAAGCATGATAAACATGAAATGCATGTTATGTAACAACATAACTACATGCTATGGTCATGATGCAATCGCGGCCGTTTCGCTAGCTTCACATGTACCAAACTCGGTATTACGTGACGCGAACAAACGACATAGCTAAATGACACATCCACGTATGATAATCACGACATACGTCTCATGTAACAACATGACTACCTGCCACACTGATGATGCTCTCGCGGCCGTGTCGCTAGCTTCACATATTCCAAATTTAGTATTACGTGACGCCAATGGATGACGAAGTTATGTGACTGATGCAAACATGATAATCTTGAGATGCGTGTCATGTGAGAACATGACTACAAGCCACAGTCAAGGCGCCAACACACTTCGACGTGACGCGGTGCGCGTGCTCGCCGGCGTTCATTTCGTCGCTTCACACCGCCGTTGCCACGCCAGGCAGCGGTCCTGCCATATACTTGCAGGCGCGTGCCGCGCTGCGTTGCTTTGACGCATGCGCATTTCAGCGTGCCCAACATACCTCCGTCACAAAAAGAGGAAAACGCAGTGTTGTCTGGCTAACGCATCGGTGCGAAATGCAGCATGTTGCATGACGAACAATATGACTGGGGCACACTTGACAGTCCTTACACGCGTGTCATGTAAGAACATGACAACATACCACGCTCATAGCGTGCTCGCGACTGTTTCGCTAGCTCCACTCTAAATTTGGTACGACGTGATGTGAATGGATGATGAAGCTATACGACACACCAAAACATGATAATAATGACACGGAAGCAATGTACGTCATTATTTATCTTCACCTCGTAACGTTGTGCTGATTTTAAAGTGACATCAACATTTCTTATTCATGGTTCCCTTATTATCGATTTTCACTGTACGTGGGAGGCGCCAATTTTTTTTTTCAAATTTTAGTGAAACTGAATTCAAGGCAGGCTCATAAACTGAAATTAAGGCAGGCTTATAAACACAGACTGTAGCTTGTCTCACAGAGAAAGCTCTAGCGAGACCGCTGTACCTTCAATACAACAGTCACGTGGTGAAAGTGAAAATTTGAAACGAATGATCTTTTTTCTTCTACCTTTCTTCAAGAAGCCCCGAAACACTTCTTGAACCTCGCCACAAACATTGTCAAACGGTAGTAGGCTCCTGTAGGCTTTTGAGGCAAACCCAGCAGTGTATTTACAAACAGAATTTCTATTCATGAAAATAAAGCTCATTGACTGATTGAAAAAAAAAACGTCAGACAAAAATCTGAAGGCGTTTTCTCCACAAACGATGACAAATAAGTGAAAGTGCGAGCACACAGTCATTGGTATTTTTTTACCAACGTGAGCTGCTTAACTACGGCTGCCACATCAGTGTGCGGCGACATGGCCTCACCATGATGCTCTACCACTAGTGCGCTTGTGACTACACAAAACTTGGCCGCCTGGTCAATGACAACCAGAAAGTAAATTACAAAACACACGTGCTTTTGTATGAACAAAGCTTCTTGTTACCTTGTCATTCCTCCTACCACTTGGCCTAGCTTTCAGTGGGCTGACTTGGATACAGCGATTTGCGCGTGAGGCATATCACCGTTTATCCACTTGTTGCCGATGGATTCTGAAACTTCCTACGGCAGTCAGTTGTTGAGGTGCGAGACTTTGGTGGTGATAATATACAGTGATTTAGTGGAAATGCGTAGCAATTCTCCTGCTTGTATGTATAATGCTGCACTCCAAATTGATTGAACAGAAATGAGAAACATGAAATTAAAAGGGTATATGTGTATGCCTTTTAGCTACTGGCATCGGCCAAAGTCGTGCATGAATAATGACGTCGTGATATTTTGGCGTACTGTACACAATAATAAAGCAGCCGATCGTTATTCAAGCCTAAACAAATGCAATGAATACATTTATGTATTTATGAAACATACAAGAAAACCGAAACTATGCTTTCTTATTCGAACAGTTTTCCATGAGCTGCGTTGGTCTAAATAGAGCGTCACAGTCTGCGCTAACTTTCCCCGTTTTCACAGCTTTTTATACCTATAGAAGCGCAGCATGGCAAGCGAACGAGAAGGAAATCTGAATAGATTCCAGTGTTTTATTGTGGTCTACTGTTGAGTGCGAGGCATTAGCGTCCTCCAATTGATTTCCACTTCGCTTGTCCATCAATTGACAACTTATTTTGTTCTACATATAAAAATATTTATTTGTGTTGTTACCGATAAAACAATTCGTGCTGAGCAATACAACGTTGCAACTGAGAGAAACCGCATAATGAAGCTTTGTGTTACCCTAGTTCACCCGCCACGACGCCTTAGTAGTTGAGGTGCTCAACTAACAACGTTAAGGCACCAGGATTGCATCCTATCCGCAGCAGCCACTTTTCTATAGAGGTGAAATACTACAGCCCCATGTAGATGGATTCAGCTGTTCGCCAAAACAAACTGCTGTAGTAAAAATTTCCGCAGTCTTACACGCTCACGCAGCCCTCGCGCTCATGCAGTAGGCTTGGAACGTAACACTCCAACAATGCGGTCACTCTGATTGCTTTGTGATCTCTTCATGATTTCAAGTGATTTCACAGGGCACTGTACGTGGCAGAAAAAAATTGACCCGAATCGACATGTTACACTGTAAATGTCGTCGAGCGACGATAGTCTTGCATCTGGAGAGAGTGAACAAAACGTTTATTTGATGTTCTGCGCAAGAAAACAGGTGGATGGTATTCTGCAGACGCTGCGTTAGAGGGCCTCGAACATGCAACGGAGGCGAGAGAGCGTATCCAGTCACGTTAGACACAAGCGCCATCTGGCAGTTATATTCGAAAACGAAGGCGTGCAGCCCGCAGAGAAAGATGCCCGCCATTCTCGGTGGTGATAAAGTGTAGAACGCAAAGCGACGGACAGGTGCCACCACCGTGACGTCGCAGCAAAGCGCTGGAAACACCTTTTAGGGGCGAAGCTCCTTAGGGCGTGGGCTGTGCGTCCCCTGTAGCCTGTATGTAGCCACCTCTAGTTTAGTTCTTGCAGTGTTCACTAGATGGCGGTACCGTCCCCTGTATGTAGCCACCTCTAGTTTAGTTCTTGCACTGTTCACTAGATGGCGGTACCGTCTCCTGTATGTAGCCACCTCTCGTTTAGTTCTTGTAGTGTTTACTAGATGGTGGTACTTGTAGCTGATGATGAAAAGATGCAAGATGTTATAAACTAGAAAGCGGTACTTGTAGTTGATGAAAGACGCGAGATCTTATAAAATAGGAATGATGTCACATATGGCGCGTGTCATTGGTTGAAGGCAATCGTTCGATTTAGTGCGGCGACGTACGCTAGGGGGAGCGATGTAATAAAATCGAGTGGGCAAAATGTACAGAGGATTCATGGTTTACCAGGTTTACCTCCGGAGCTTCGCCCACTCATCATCATTCACTTCGTGGATATGGCGGAATTTTTTTGAGCATCGCGTGGCACTTTCAGCGCAGTGCGATTAAACGCTACATTCCTTAAAGTTACTTGTGTGTGCTTCTTCTAGCATAAAGGCAGACATAGAAAACATCGAAGTATTGTTGTGTCGCCTCAGATATGCGCAGTAAATCTTTTCAATTGACAATCGCACAACTATGAACGCTAAACCTTGAGCAATATTGGTTGGCGCTGCGGATGGGGTTAGCCGTTTGGTGCCGTTTGAGATATCGTTAGGGCAGACGAACAGACAAATGCACAGACAGACAGACCAAAATTTTTTTGTCGAAGCTCCCCAAGAAAGACTATCGTCTTTAAAAACATAGGTGATGTTGCTCATTATGCGTGAGCATACATTCTACAGCGTATTCGTTACCTCTAACCCGGAACAGTCTACGCACGTCTTGCAAGCATAGTCCACAATACGATAGTTATGAGAGCTAAGGTACTAGCAAAAGCGTGGGGCCACCTCAAAAACCATACAGATGGGCAAGACTGTAGTACTCAGAAGTTTCACTTCTGGAAGTGTCAGCTCGTGACTAAGCCTAGCATCCTAGGCAGCATCTGTAAAATTATGTCAAGATATCTAGTAGGGAACAACATTTACCATGAAGCAATCGTGCTTCCTTATCTTCTGCTCTACGTCAGCATCGATTCGCCAACTGTGTCAAGTTCTTCGTAATGTTCTGCCACAACGATTCGCTACATATTCATTAATGGTTTTCAGCTAGCATGTTTGCTGTTTGAGGCTTCCTTTGTCATGTTTAACTATAATTGTTTATATTAGAATGAGAGCATATTAACACATATTTAAAAAACAAGCCTTTGTTTTATCTACTGAAGTTCAAGCTTTGCCAATAATTTGACCACAAACGCTTACTGCGCAAGCTATTGCTTTGCGTGTATATGTAGTCTATACTACGATATTTTTTGGAAGGATTACTAGGGATACCAGACCTTTTAACAAGCCTTTGTTGAATTTTAGCATGAAATACAATAGCATAATGCATTTTCATACCACTGTTACTGTCCCGTCTTCTTCAGAAAGCCTTACTGCCGCAAGCGTTTCTTGTCGTGATACAGGTTTTTCTGTAGCTCTTGTACGTCATACTGAAAATAAGAAAGGTGCAATTTCACACAGTTGTGAAGTCCCGAAAACAATAACATAGTCAAATAAATATCTCGATATCTGCTGCATGCGTGATCACGACAACCAAGTACATGGGCATCAGAAAAACTTCAGTGTACATTTAACTATCAACATTTTGTACAAGGCTGCAACAACCAATCAGTAGCAAGCTCATAATATAGTGACATTATCAGTGAAGTTTTGCTGTTGACATCATCGCTATGTTCCGTGTATATATATATATATATATATAAGAATAACTTCGATTGCCGCAAGGTTATAATTATGAAAGTAGATGCGCTTTCACATAACAACTGTTTATTGTGCCGACGTTTCGACAGGAACCCTGTCTTTTTCAAGGCATAATACTATTTACACATGTTCCGTGCCTTTTTATATCTTGTCAAGACAGGAGGGGAGGGGTCAATTGAGAGAGAGAGAGAAAAAAAAGAAGAAACAGCGAAACGGGAGGACAAACATTAAATAAAATATAGAAAATCTAGGAGAAGAAGCAAGACCGACACGGCGTAATTAGAAAGGGGCAGCATTTCAACAGAGTAGGGCAGAGGTAGATGAGGAATGTCATCATTGTCAACAATACCTCCCCCGCACCCACACTTCCCCAAGTGGGCAGGGAGCCGCCGTTTTTGTATTTCACCTTTCCATGTATCCGCTGGCGGCTCGTTCCTCTTTGAAGTGTATGACAAGTTAATGGGGAAGGTTTAAGCGCTTTAAGTGCATGCTGGTGGCGTCGGGAGGAGCGAAAAAGCCGGTGAATGAGGCACCACCATCGATATTCATTATATGCATTGGCTCCTTGTCAGTGAAGGAACAGAATGTGCGTTAAAAATTAAAGAAGGAGAAAAAAAACAGGGGGGGGAGGGGGGAGACTGTACGACAACCGAGACAGTCACCACACAGTTGCGGCTCACTGGGAAGACATGCGCACATGCACGAAAAAGTTAACGAAACCACCTAGCTGTCAGCTCCTTGTCAGTGAAGGAACAGAATGTGCGTTGCAACTCAAAGAAAAGAAAAAAAAAAGAAGGGGGGGGGGGGACCGTACGACTTCTGGGACCACTTATCTGTGCGTTCCGGCTGTGCTTGATGAGGCAAATCATTTCTATGTTGTCAGATGCATAGGCCAAAAGCTTTGTTAGCGGATAATATTATTGTCGTAATGAAACCGGACTGATTAGAGAGAAGCGTTTGCGTCTTTTAGCGGTCGTAACGCAGACAGAGTGCCTGGGTGTTGATTTATTCCGTATTTTATCGTGTTAAATTTGTAGATAAAATAAGATTCCCGTTGTTCGCGTTCTCTGATTGTTCGAAAGTTGTTTTCTAGTAGTGTAACCCTGATGTCATCAAAGCTGTGGTCTTTTAATGTGCAGTGTTTTCAAAGTGGAAGGCCTGGCAGAGATCGTACATGTGCCCGATGGTTGTTGAATCTAATTCTAAACGGAGTGTCTGTCTGGCCCACGTATTGCTTGTTACATACCCCACATTCCAGGAGGTATATGACGTTGTCTGAGTCACAGTCTAGTGCACCTCTTATCCTGTGCTTAAAATCCGAGTGGGTTTTCGCCACTGTCGTTGTCTGCATGTGTTTGCATACCCTGCATCTGCTTTTTCTGCAAGGGTGACACCCAATTTGAGGTTTCACACCTATCTTTGAATTTATTAAATAATCCTTTATATTTTTCGGCCTTCTGTATACAACACAAGGAGGAGAAGTGAAAATTTTGGATAGTCGCACGCTCTGTTCCAATATGTTAAAGTGTTTTCTTAGGACCTTGTTTATGTTCGGTGGGTTGCTCGTGAAAGTTAATAGCAGGTTTTTGTTGCGGTGTTGGTCGGCGTTTTTCTGGTGGTTGAGAAGAATCTGGCGGTCCAGATTTTCAGCTTTTTTGATGGCGTCATCGATGATAGCTGGCGGGTATTCTTGATGAAGGAGTACTTCGCGCATATGTGTGCTGTTTTTGTGGAAGTCCTCGGTGCGGGAGCAGATTCGTCGAAATCTGTGTGCTTGGGAATAGGGAATGCTGGTCTTGCAATGTCGCGGGTGGCAGCTTTTGAAGTGCAGGTATTGTTGCCTGTCTGTAGGTTTTCTGTATACGTTAGTTACCAACGCACCATCGTCAACTCGAATGAGTACATCAAGAAAGTTTATTTCAGTGTTAGAGTAGGTGTGCGTAAAATAAATGCTGGGGTGTACCTGGTTGAATGCCTGTATGAATTTGAGGAGCTCGTTTTCCGAATGTGTCCAAATTATGAATATATCATCTAGGTACCGTTTATAGAGTAATGGTTTGATATTACAAGATGAAATAATTGGACTCTATGTGGTGCATGAATATGTTAGCGTAGTTTGGGGCCATTCTTGTACCCATTGCCGTACCGCTGATTTGAAGATAGTACTGGTTGTTAAATTCAAAGCTGTTCAAATCGAGTACAAGTCTTGTAAAGATTTCAATTACTTTTTTGCTTGGATAAGCGACAGGGTTGTGTGTGCCATACGATTCAACAAGTGCCCTTACACCATCGTCATGTGGGATATTTGTGTAGAGTGAGCTAACATCCAATGTTACGAGAAATGCACCGTCTGGAATTTTCACGTCTGCTATTTCCCGAAGGAAGTGGTTTGTGTCACGCAAGAAGGACTCATGTGTGGGTGGTATGTCTTTGATTAAAGATTCAATATAACTGGAAATGGGTTCCGTTTACGTTCCCGTGCCTGATATAATGGGTCTGCCAGGGTTATTCTCTTTATGAATCTTCGGCAGCATGTAAAAACGACCAGGCGCCGAATGTACCGTAATAAGTGCCTTTTTAAGCTTTGAATTAATGGCGCCTTCACGTGTGAGATTCTCTAGGGTTGTTACAATGATTTTTTTGTGCTCCGTGGTAGGGTCAAAGTCGAGGTGTTTGTAGAATTGATTGTTATTTAGTTGTCGCTTGCCTTCCTCAATGTAGTCCGATCTATTCAGAACAACAATCGCGCCTCCTTTGTCTGCTGGTTTGATGACGAGATCTTCGCAGTTGCTCAACGTGAGTAGTGCCTCTTTTTCTCTTTTTTATATGTTATTCATGCTTGGTTTGTGCACTTTGTACGCATGCATAACATCTTTTTGAACCGCGTCTATATAGACATCCAGATGTCGATCTCTGTTGGCGTCTGGGGTCCATTGCCGTCCGATTACCCCACGAAAAAGTGCGTTATCTTTTTCGGGTTTATCAAAGAAATATTCCTCCAATCGTAAATTTCGTGCGAAGTTGTCTAGGTCTTTTAGGAGCGTGAATTCATCATACCTTCCGTTGCCAGGGCAGAATGTAAAACCGCGTGATAGTATACTCAAAACTCCGTCCGTTTCAGATGAACTAGGCCATAGAACGGGTCCAAATTTTCTTAAACTTAGAAAAGTGGTTGACAAAAGAATACGGCACGAACTTCACGTGCAAAGCCTCGAGCAATATGTACTGGAGGGTACGGCTCCGAAGGGGCTGCGCTTGTCGCTAACACCATCGATGCATAACTTTGCCGAAGGGGAACTGAAACGGTGGAACGAAATTCTCAATCACGCCACACAGGAGCTAACGAAGGTCACCATCGAACACTGTAGAAAGACTCTAAACGCACTGACAGACTAGGAGCGGTGTTTAAGAAATAACTTTTCTCTTTCGGAGCGGGAAACTAAAGAACTAGACGTATTTGAGCACGAAAAAACGGAGGAAATTGAAAAACTTAAGAGGAAGAAATTTGCGCGGGACAATGTGTCACAAGCTATACCCACTGCTGCTTACACAAAAAATACCAAATCATCTCACGTTCAAAAAAATTTGCCACCACACCCCAAAGAGCCAAACGTTATTAACCTTTCCGACAAAGAACTTAGCAAAGAAGAATTGAGTATACTATCACGCGGACTTACATTCTGCCCTGGCAACGGAAGGTATGATGAATTCATGCTCCTAAAAGACCTAGACAACTTCGCACGAAATTTGCGATTGGAGGAATATTTCTTTGATAAACCCGAAAAAGATAACGCACTTTTTCGTGGGGTAATCTGACGGCAATGGACCCCAGACGCCAACAGAGATCGACATCTGGATCTCTATATAGACGCGGTTCAAAAAGATGTTATACATGCGTACAAAGTGCACAAACCAAGCATGGATAACATATCAAAAAGAGAAAAAGAGGCACTACTCACGTTGAGCAACTGCGAAGATCTCGTCATCAAACCAGCAGACAAAGGAGGCGCGATTGTTGTTCTGAATAGATCGGACTACATTGAGGAAGGCAAGCGACAACTAAATAACAAACAATTCTACAAACACCTCGAATTTGACCCTACCACGGAGCACAAAAAAATCATTGTAACAACCCTAGAGAATCTCACACGTGAAGGCGCCATTAATTCAAAACTTAAAAAGGCACTTATTACGGTACATTCGGCGCCTGGTCGTTTTTACATGCTGCCGAAGATTCATAAAGAGAATAACCCTGGCAAACCCATTATATCAGGCACGGGAACGTTAACGGAACCCATTTCCAGTTATATTGATTCTTTAATCAAAGACATACCACCCACACATGAGTCCTTCTTGCGTGACACAAACCACTTCCTTCGGGAAATAGCAGACGTGAAAATTCCAGACGGTGCATTTCTCGTAACATTGGATGTTAGCTCACTCTACACAAATATCCCACATGACGATGGTGTAAGGGCACTTGTTGAATCGTATGGCACACACAACCCTGTCGCTTATCCAAGCAAAAAAGTAATTGAAATCTTTACAAGACTTGTACTCGATTTGAACAGCTTTGAATTTAACAACCAGTACTATCTTCAAATCAGCGGTACGGCAATGGGTACAAGAATGGCCCCAAACTACGCTAACATATTCATGCACCACATAGAGTCCAATTTTTTTTCATCTTGTAATATCAAACCATTACTCTATAAACGGTACCTAGATA